CAGTCCTGGGCCTTCAGCTGGGTTTTATAAAACCTTTTCGCTTTAGGCCTCCGCCACCGTGTGCAAAAAAAAAAAGGTTCAATCAATCAGTCAATTTCAACTTCTCGTGGGAAAAAAAAAAGACCTTGCAAAGTTGGAATTGATTGATTGAACTTTTTAGTCCCACCCAGTCTGCTGTTACCACCGCAGCCACGCCCACCCAATGGGCCACACCCAGCCAATGGGCCACACCCACCCGGCACCCGACGATGCATAAATGGGTTCTGGGTTGCAATTTGGGCACTCGGTCTCTAAAAGGTTCGCCATCACTGTACTAGTATTTTAGTGCCAAATATGACATTTGTGGGGGTTTTTTTCTCTTCTTCTCCCTGACCTTTCCTTCCACTCTATATCAGGTATAAAATTACAGATATTATTGGAAAAGAAGATGGCCTGGGGACCGAGAACCTGAGAGGATCTGGCATGATTGCTGGAGAATCATCCCTTGCTTATGAAGAGATCATCACAATTAACCTGGTAAATCCATAATTGTGAGGTGGGTTGGGGAGGTTAGGAGGGGAGAAGGTAAGGAAGATCAGGCCTTCATTGGCTTCGTACTCCTAGATTGGAGCAGCTGTGATCAGCAGGGCCTTTCAAGTGTTGGCCCCGCCAGCAGACGCGTACTACTCCTGCCACTTCTGGCCGAGAGCTGTGTAGACCTCCAAGGTGCCACGTGAAAAGCCGTGGCAGCTTTTGGCAGAGCCCTTCTTCCCCTCTGTGCCGTTTCCCGTGTGGGTCTCCCTTAAGGAAGAGATGGAACTGTGGGAGAGGCTAAGGAGATCTTTGCAGGATGGGTGTGAGGCGGACTGGATGGGATGAGATCAGAAAGGGCCGTTCTCCTTTTTGTTCTGGGGAGATTGTGCGAGAGGGGCTCCCTTGGCAGGACATCCCCAGCCAGATCCTTTGAAGAATTGGAGTCTCGTTCAGACTGGAATGAGTTTGGCAAGGCTCAGCATTCAGAGTTTATTGACAAGTCATTTACTGGGCCGATTACTACTGTACTCCTCCCCTTGGGGAAATAAATTGGGAATTATTTATTATTAGCTTTCCTTCCCTCCCTCCCTCCCTCCTTCCCTCCGTCCCTCCTTCCTTCCCTCCCTTCTTCCCTCCGTCCCTCCTTCCTTCCTTCCTTCCTTCTCTCCTTCCTTCCTTCCCTCCCTCCTTCTCTCCTTTCCCTCCTTCCTTCTTTCCTTCCTTCCTTCCTTCCTTCCCTTCCTCCCTCCTTCCTTCCTTCCCCTTTATCTTTACGTTCTTTTTTCCATCTGTCACATGTTTCTTCCTTCCCTCCCTTCTTCCTTCCTCCTTCCTTCCCTTCCTTCCTCCCTCCCTCCTTCCTTCCTTCCCCTTTATCTTTACATTCTTTTTTCCATCTATCACATGTTCCTTCCTTCCTTCCCTCCCTTCTTCCCTCTGTCCCTCCCTCCCTCCTTCCTTCCTTCCCTCCCTCCTTTCTTCTTTCCTTCCCTCCCTCCCTCCCTCCTTCCTTCCTTCCCCTTTATCTTTACATTCTTTTTTCCATCTATCACATGTTCCTTCCTTCCTTCCCTCCCTTCTTCCCTCTGTCCCTCCCTCCCTCCTTCCTTCCTTCCCTCCCTCCTTTCTTCTTTCCTTCCCTTCCTCCCTCCCTCCTTCCTTCTTTCCCCTTTATCTTTACATTCTTTTTTCCATCTGTCACATGTTTCCTCCCTCCCTCCCTCGCTCCCTCTCTCTCCCTCTCCTCAGCCACCAACTCAAGATAGCAAACATATTTATTATTAGCCTTCCTTCCTTCCTTCCTTCCTTCCTTCCTTCCTTCCTTCCTTCCTTCCCTCCCTCCTTCCCTCCCTCCCTCCCTCCTTCCTTCCCTCCTTCCTTCCTTCCTTCCCTCCCTCCCTCCTTCCCTCCTTCCTTCCCTCCCTCCTTCCTTCCTTCCCTTCCTCCCTCCCTCCCTCCCTTCTTCCTTTCTTCCTTCCCCTTTATCTTTACGTTCTTTTTTTCCATCTGTCACATGTTCCTTCCTTCCTTGCCTCCCTTTTTCCCTCCGTCCCTCCATCCTTCCTTCCCTCCTTCCTTGCCTCCCTCCCGCCCTCCTTCCTTCCTTCCTTCCTTCCCCTTTATCTTTACGTTCTTTTTTCCATCTATCATATCTTCCTCCCTCCTTCCCTCGCTCTCTCTCTCCCTCTCCCTTTCCCCCTCGGCCACCAACTCAAGGTAGCAAACATACTCCCTCCTCCTCCTCTTTTCCTCACAACAACACCACTGTGAGCTGTGTTGGGTGGAGAGAAAGCGATGGGCCCGAGCCGGCTTTCATGCCTAAGGGAGACCTAGAACTCAGAGCCTCCTGGTTTCCAGTCCAGCACCTTCACCTGCACACCAGACCTGTTCCCATTAAGAAGAGACGTCTTTTCTGAAAATTTGAGGCACTCACTTGAGATGCTTTCCAGGCCAAATCAGGCATATTGTTCACGGAACAAAGGCCTCGGCTGCAGAGGAGGCTTCTTTCAGCAGAGACGGGCATTCTCCTTCGAAAATAAACAGTCCCTTCCTCTTCCTGGTGCTTCCTTGCATTCCTGTGTTGAGGGCAAAGGGTTCACCAAAAATGCTGCAGAGTTGACCTGAATATGCCTTTTGGATTTATTTTGTTTTTAGGTGACCTGCCGTGCCATTGGAATTGGGGCTTATGTTGTCCGGCTGGGACAAAGGACAATCCAGGTGGAAAATTCACATATAATCTTGACCGGTGCTGGAGCACTCAATAAAGTAAGCCTTTTTCTTTGTGGATCGTGATTTTAAAACAGGGGTCTCCAAACTTGGCAACTTTAAAGCTCGTGGACTTCAACACCCAGAATTTCTCAGCCAGTCATGGAGGCCCCTGTTGCACAGTACCGATTGAGAGTGGTGAAATTGTTGGCCAACCCTCTGTTTGCTAAACTTGTTTAGATTAGAACTCACAGCCTGGTGGTTGAAACCCTTATCTTCTTGCTGTTGAAATTACCTAGAAGAAATGGGATTGACCGTGTGCAACTCGCTTAACAACTGCCTTGCTTAGCAATGGAAATGTTGGGCTCGTTTGCGGTCGTAAGTCAAGGACTACCTGTAGATCAGAAACACCCAACCAATATATGAATACGGATGCCCACGTTAGAATTTTTGGGATATTGACTTTCAGTTTCAGGCTTCAGGTCCAGATTGTGAAAATGTGTAAGAGCCCTGTTGCGTAAGAGCTGAAGGAACACATAGTTTTCTCTTTTGCCTTGGTGGCAAGGACTTCATACTCCACTGGAAAAAGCTACAGAAGGGCTTGATATTAAATTAGCACAATCTTAAGGCTTCCTTTCCTTGCTTTGGACAACTCTCAAAGACGAATGAAGGCGAATCTACGTGTTGTCCCAGGATAATGTCTCAGGATCCAATCTGGGTAGGTCACCAGGACCAATGGTTAGTCTTCCGAGCTTTGAGACTCGTGCTGGAGCCCATCCTCTGGGAACTTCTCTCCCACCAGGATGTTTGTTTTGGTCTATCGCAGTGGTGGCGAACCTATGGCACGCGTGCCAGAGGCGGCACTCGGAGCCCTCTCTGTGGGCACGCACGCTGTCGCCCCAGCCCCGCCTCCCCCTGCGACCCCCCTCCTCACCAGCAGCCCCCCCCAAGGAGAGTCGCCCACAGGCGCGGCCCGCACGGAGCAGCGCAGCCAAGGACATGGCAGCCAGGCAGTAGGGACAAGACTCTGCCCTCGCGCCCCATTGCATGCAGATGATGTTGCGGGGTGTGGGCGGAGGGCATGGTTGCCATGGTGCTGCAGGGCCGCCTGGGCGATCTGAGGCAGGCCATGGAGGCAGTGGGTGGCCCTGCGGGCGGGCAGGGCAGGGGACAGGCAGGGGCGGGGGGTGGGTTTTGGGCACTCGGTCTCTAAAAGGTTCGCCATCACTGGTCTATCATATTTATGGGGTGCCTGTTTGTGTGTGGCTTTTTAGTTGTTGTTTGGGGTATTGATTGGGGGTGATTAATCAACAACTAACAAGCTACACCCATCCAAGCACTAGGGTTGCCAGGTCTGCTTCCAAAAAATAGCGCACAAGCTGGGGGGGGGTGTTAAGTAGTAAAAAAAAGTAGACTGTACAGCTTTAGATTATGTACCATTTCATCATAAAGCTTTTGAATAAAAAAAGTCCACTATTTTGTGAAAAAAAATAGTGAACATAATGTGAAAAAAGTGGACTGTCCACTCAAATAGTGGACACCTGGCAACCCTACCAGGCACCCCACGAATATGCTGCACAGAATAATAGCCCATCGTCCCCCATTCTGGAGAGAGAGAGAGAGGGGCGAGTCCGAAAGCGCGGAAGACTAAACCGTCGGTCCCGGCGACCGACCCAGATTGGATCCTGCAACTCTCAAAGATGCACTCTCCGTGTCCGCGCCCATCCCTGTGGGGTTTGCACACCCCGAGACCCCGTGGAAAAGACACGAGATGCCAATTGAAAAGCTGTCTCTTGCCCCCGGTCCTTCCGCGAGCGGAATGGCCCATTGTGCGATCCAGATTCCTGCTTCTGTTTTATTTAGATCGGCCCGCTCTTCTCTCGGTGAGCCTGCTGGTTCTCCAGCCGCTGCTCCCGCAGAATAATGACCCCTCTCTAAGAGAAAAGCGAGAGCGGGCTTGCTGGCAGCCTGTGTGCAATATACCTGAATGAATTGTCCCCTGGGGATGAAAATGCCCCAACCTCCTAGCCATCCCACTTTAGGTTTTAAACAGGGTTGGAAGCAGGAGTCAAAGGCTACGGCTCTTAAATCACCACACCACCCAGGCAGCAGCTGTTTGAGATTTATGCTCAAGAGCCCAGTTCTTGTGCCGCAGAAGAGAGAAACAATTTGCCCTTGAATTACAGACGGAGGCAGAGAGGGGGAGAGAGAGAGAGAGACGACAAGGGGAAGCAGGTGGCAGAGTGGGGGGCGATTCCACTTTTATTTTCTTTCTTTGGGTAGCAATCTGATTCTGGGGATTTGCAGCACCAGCCACGACAAAGATGGGAGGAGGATGTTGTGACTATTGTGGCACCCTGGGCCGAAGGTTCAAGGAGATGGAGACCTTTCCTTTTTGATGCACAGGGATCAGTGGCCGAGAGTTAAGCAATGCACTTAAAAATAATGAAAATAGAGATGCATCAGCTTGGCCCCGGTGGGTGGGGAGGGGCTGGTGGGGAAGGTTGCTTTTGTGCAGGTTGCATTTTTAAGAATCGGAGTTTGGACGGTCGACTCTTGGCTGAAGATTTGGGCAGACCAGCTCAGCCAAAGGTATCATTTTGGGTTTTGTTTTTTTTGCTTTTGCTGGGAGGGATTCAGTGGGAATCCAGTATGTGGTTTTTATACTGGGGTTTTCCACTGAAAAAGTGGCCAAAATCCTCGACCAACACCAGTTCATTTAGTGACCGTTCAAAGTTACAACAGCACTGAAAAAAAACCTGACCGATGACCGTTTTTCACCGTTGCAACTTTTGCAGCATCCCCATGATCCTGTGATCAAAATTCAGATGCTTGGCAACTGACTCGTATTTATGACGGTTGCAGCGTCCCGGGATCATATGATCCCCTTTTGCAACCTTCGGACAAGCAAAGTCAATGGAGAAGTCAGATTTGCTTAATAACTGTGTTACTAACTTAACAACCGCAGCGATTCAACTTAGCAACTGTAGGAAGAAATAGCGTAAAGCTCACTTAACAAATTGTCACTTAACAATTAATAAATTTTGGGGCTCAATTGTGTGTCGTTAAGTTGAGGACCGCCTGTGTTTAACGACTGTTCAAAGTTACAGTGGCACTGGAAAAAGTGACTTGTGAGCAGTCGTCGTGGTTACGACCATCCCAACATCCTCATAAATGCATGGTCACAATTCTGGCACTTGGCAACCAGCCTGTATTTATGACGGCCGTAGCATCCCAAGGTCATGTGATCGCTATTTGCGACCTTCCCCGCTGGCTTCCAACAAGCAAAACCAACAGGGGAAGTTGTATTTGCTTGACAATCTCCTGGTTCACTTAGCAACTGCAGTGATTTGCTTAACAGCCAAGGCCAAAAAAGCTTATTAAATGGGGTCTGACTCACTTAGAGCCCTGGTGGCACAGTGGTTGAAGGGTAGTGTTGCAGGCAAGCTCTGCCCACAGCCTGGGGTTCGATCCTGACGTGCTCTGGCACCCGTGCCATAAGTTCGCCACCACTGTCCTAGCTGATCTGGAGGACAGCAAGTTGAGGCAAGAACTCCCAGAAAGCCGAGATATCCGTTATGATTGTAGAATGATAGGGCTGGAAAGGACCTCAGAGGTCTTCTAGTCCGACCCCCTTCCCAAGGCAGGCGTTCTCATACCATCCCGGGCAAATGGTTGTCCAATCTTTTCTTGAAAACTTCCAGCGATGGAGCACCCGCAACTCCGGGAGGCAAGCTGTTCCAGGGATTCATTTTTTTCACTGTCAGAAAATTCCTTCATATTTCCAGGCTGGCTGTCCCTCCGACAAGTCTCCACCCATCGCTTCCTGTCCTGCCCTCAGGTGTTTGGGAGAAGAGGTGGACCCCCTCTTCTCTGTGACAGCCCCCCAAGTATTGGAAGACTGCTATCATGTCGCTCCTAGTCCTTCTCTTTGTTAGGGTAGACCAGGGGTGGGCAACCTTGGCTCTTTTATGACTCGTGGACTTCAACTCCCAGAATTCCTGAGCCAGCCATGCTGAGGAGAAAGGGAGAGGTTTCCAAGCTGAGTCATGCTGGCTCAGGAATTCTGGGAGTTGAAGTCTACGAGTCATAAAAGAGCCAAGGTTGCCTACCCCTGGTCTAGGCCAACCCCCTGCTCAGGTAGGAAACCCTATACCAGGGGTAGGTAACCTTGGCTCTTATATGACTCGTGGACTTCAACTCCCAGAATTCCTGAGCCAGCGTGGCCCAGCATGGAAACCTCTCCATTTCTCCTCAGCATGGCTGGCTCAGGAATTCTGGGAGTTGAAGTCCACGAGTCATAAAAGAGCCAAGGTTGCCTACCCCTGGGCTAGACATACCTAGCTCCCTTAACCGTTCATTATACGATTTAGCCTCCAGGCCCCTTGTCATGGAGCCTTAAAAAGGACCCCATCCACCAGCTTTGGCTGGAAAGAAGGGAAGAGAAGAGGGAGGGAGGAAATGGGGAGGGGAGGTTATGCCTGAAACAGAGTTTCATATTGATACAGCTTCCTTCTAATTGGAGTGCAGAAACCTGTTCGAAGGTGTCCACCTGCATCTTGGTCGAAAGAAGGAACACGGTGGCAGCCTAGGAACTGCCAAGAGAGAACGATGTTCTGGCAGGCTTGTGGCACAACCACATCTCTCTGTGGTTGCAACAGAGAGATTTCTGTTTGCCCTTTGTCTTCAGTATTTGCAAAGTGTGTAGGGAAGCTTGGCGTGTCATTTCCCCCCCCCTTTCCCTCCCTCCTTCTTGTCTGTATACAATTGTTTGTGTGTGTGTATGTGTCTGTGCATGCACACACACTGCATCCCACTCATTGACCCTCCTCCCTCTTCACCATCCTCCCCCCCCTCCGAAAATTGAAATAATGATAATGCCGTGTCTCCCCATTGCATCAAAGTATCAGCCCATCAAAAACCAGGAGGCATGAAATGCAAATGGTACGGTGATGGCAAATGGATGGTGCATGATCCCCCTGACGCCAAATGAATTTTAAAAGATGACAATGTACATATGTGGGGGGGGGGATAGAGGAGGAAGAGGAGG